TCCCTCCCCCCCCCCCTCTGCTCTGGATGTTGGAATGTCCCTCGGCATCTTCATGTGTGATGTAAGTCAATGGACCTGCATTTGATGTAATGACATCAGTGGTTCTTAGACCTCTGGAGCAAAGGGGAAAAACGCTCTGGGGACCAGTCCAGCCTGGAGGGAGCCGGTGGGACACAGGATCAGGTATGTAAAACGGCTTTAATGGCATCACCTAGACAAAAATCAGCACCTATGGGGGCAGCCCCGCTTCATAGGTAAGTTTGCTGTTCGCCCAGAGATGGGCTTTAAAGTGTATCTAAACCCTAACAATGAACTTCTCTTTGCTACCTTTTGATCTGTTGAATATATCATATAAATTAGGGTTGCACAGATACCAAGTACAGTACTCGGTACAAGTACGAGTACATGTACCGATACTTTTGAGCTCTAAGACTACACTATTCAAATAATTGACAAATTCAAAAATTAGGCGGCTGCTGTAATTTGTAAGGAGCACACGTAGCTCCTGGGATTTGTACATCTCTGTTTTAATGTACGATTTTGTTTTTATACATATAAATAAAGGGATGCACAGATACCAGTTTTGTGAGTACGAGTACTGGTACTTGCCCAAGTCCTCACAGATACAAGTACTGATACATTTTTGTTTATTGTCATGTGACAGTTTTTCTAAAACAATACAGACTAATGATTTCAGGACAGTAGTGGAGCGCCAGAGCCAGGTCCCAGCTGCAACCGCTGCAACCCTGGTGAAAATGCCAAGTATCGGCACTGGTACTCGAAAAGTATCTGTGCAACCCTATAAATCATTTTGTTATATTTATTTGGGAAGTATAAAAAATACATGTTGATCCTGACAGACATTTTATGTGCTTTGCAGCTGTGCAAACTGTGGTATTGTTCCCAGTTCTCTCTGTGGGCTACAGAAAACCTCCATGTTATAGAGGATAATGTTCTGTAGCCCCAATACGTTTCCTGCCCTAGGGTGATGACACGTTTTCTCCATCAGTATAATGGGTGAAAGTTGTCACGTTAGGACAGGAAATGTGTTACTGGGTTGAATCACAAAGTAAAAATAAAATGAAAATAAAACCTAAAAAATTAAAACTAAAGCAGCTTCAACATCTGAGGACCGGTAAGCTGCAATATATCACATCTTTGTTCTTGGGTTTAGATACACTTTAAAGATGCAAAGCATCTTCAGTGTTGTGTTTTTTGTGTTCTGCACAATATGTTCCTTAACATCCTATCCACGTATCCGTTTATTTTTCGTCACACCTAATTTACATGGCGATGTTTCTACCCCCCCTGAAATCTGGGGCCAGATACATTTATTTCTTCATAAACGTGGCAGGACACAGAGCTAAGCTCTGTTGAATTTTATCTGTCATCTAGTTCTAAACCAGAGTACTTCCCATTTCTGCTTTATGGCTGTACAGGGATCCCAAAGCCAATGGTTATTACTTAACTAATGAACTCACAAATCACTGTTTTGGCAGAAGTAACAAGCAAAGTTTGCTGAATGCTAATATTTGCTTTAGAGCGCACGCTCTACTTCGTACAGCACAAACACCATGTTGTTTTCGAAGCAGAATTTGAATTGTGATAAATAACACAACCGACTTTGCCGAAATTACAGCGAAAATACTCGGATTGCTCATCTTAGACTGACTCATGCCTGCGTGCTCTTGGAAAACATGCTGCATATATTTCGAATAGAGGTGTTATCACCTAAACATTAAAACAAATTTGATCTTTTCTACAGCATATGGACTTACATAAGAAAATAACGAGTAATGTGCAAAGAACAGTAAATGGTGGAAGCTGATCGGCAACTATAACTGCTGAAAAGCGAAATAATGCTGAGTTATTCTGCATGGAATGGTTGATCATTTAACCTTTGATCTGTCCTATTAAACAAACATAACAATATTGTGAATTTCTGGTGTAGATTTTTATCTATGTTTATTTTTTCTTTTAGATTCTCCTTAAAGTGGCACTACACTCAGGAGTTAAATCTTCCAAATGCATTCAAGTGCCCTAACTAATAATATAAATGTATCTTCTTTGTACATGATTCAGCTGTAGATCCTCAAATCATCTCTGAATTGGTGATGGCACTGTCCTTCCTTCTGGAGGGGGGCTACTTTTGTTCCCCATGGTCCCTGTGTGTGTTGTAAAGTAGCCACCGCTTCAAGCTTGCTCCTGTGATGGACTACAATCTCATGTTTAGTTTTCTAATTTGAATTGAGATTGTGGTCTATCACGGGAGTGAGCTTGGAGCGGTGGCTACTTTTCAACACACACAGGGACCATGGGGAACAAAAGTAGCCCCCCTCCAGAAGGAAGGACAGTGTCAGCACCAATTCAGAGATGATATGAGGTTCTACAGCGAGTGATACACAAATAAGATACCGTTTTGTTAATAGGTAAAGTACTTAAATGCATTTTTAAGATTTAACTCCCAAGTTTAGTGTCACTTTGAGTTCCTGTTCCAATGACGCTACAAAGATAAAGGATATCTCCCAAAGTGAGGTGAATTCCCTTCTTAGACAGTTGTTGTTAGGATCCAGAGCACCTCTAGGTGGCGAAGGAGCTGAGACCTGCAACTCCAGTGCTCACCTGCGGGTGTTTCCCAGCTGCCAGTACTTAGCCATCACCTGGTGCTTCCTGGGAGGATATTTAAACCCTCCCTGCAGGATGAGGGCTCAGTATCGTTTCCTGTTTCCTGAAACTTGAACCCTGAGTCCCCAGTTCCGGTGAACCCTGCTTTCCGTCCAGAGTCCTGTTACCAGTCCTGTACCCTGTTTG